CGAGCTGGGTTGGACCGCACCTCCTTTCACATCCTCAGCCCACACCTGTGACCCGAACGCTTGGGTCGTGTTGCTTGCGGCCGCGGGTCCTGTGAGCATTGGGTTCTTTGGGCCCGGTGTGGGTATGGGCCTTACAGGCCCTGGACGAGAGCCGGGATTGTTGAGAGCTTCAAGGCACTTGGCGGATGCGTTTCAGGTTGCCTACGATTTATCGCTGGTGAATCTGCTCCCCAGTCTTCTCTTTACCCTTGTCAGTCGTTCTTTTCTCTTTATGGCGGGGGGGGGGGGCGGTAGGGGAAGGGAGGGGAGAGGGACGAACTTGAGTTTTGTAGTTTCCCTGCCTGGGACTCGTTTGAAGGGTTTTGGCAGCAGGGAATGAGAGGGAAGCTGCTTTTTCGTCTCTGGTACCAGACATCCATCCAGATGTTTTTTTTTCTGAGTTATTAAGGGTGATGTGTACCTGGCTTACTGGTCTGTTGTTTTTCTTACTGGTTTTCAGAAATGGAAGAGAGCCTGAATTGTCACCTTGAAACGCTAACTGGAAGTTGGCCTCTTCCTTTTCCCCTTCGTTTGGAAGCTTATCTGGAAGGGTTTTTTCTTTTTCTTTTTTTTTTTTTTTTGCTTTTGGTGTGTGGGTGTGGGTGTGGGTGGGTGGGTGGGTGTCGGAAACGCTAATTTGGAACTTGGCCTTTTTCTTTGCCCTTAGTTTCGAAGTTTGAATCGTTTGTAATTGTTGTTGTTGTTTTCGTTTGGGGGTGGGGGAGATGGGAGGCGACGAGGGGGGTGGCGGGGGGAGGCCCTGGGGCTTGAACTCAGGGCCTGAGTGCTGGCTCACAGCGCCACTTTTGGTTTTTTTCTGAGTAGTTTATTGGAGATGAGTCTCAGGCTTTCCTGTCCTGACTGGCTTCCAACCTCGCTCTTCTCAGATGTAAGCCCCCTGAATAGCCAGTATTACTGGTGTGAGCCACCAGTTCCCGGCTTGGAGGGTTGTTTTGTTTTGTTTTCTGGTATGGGGGCTGGAACTCAGGGCCTGGGGGCTGTCCCTTAGCTTTTTATTGGTTAATTGGAAATTATAGTCTCTCGGATATGCCTGTTGGGGCTGACTTCATACTGCAATTCTCTGATCTCAGCCTCCTGAGTAGCAAGGATTACAGGGAGCCAGCCACTGGAGCCGTTGTTTGTTTGTTTGTTGTCGTCGTTGTTTTGTTGTTTTTAAGATCGATTATCCTCATAAAGGTTCTAAAGCCCTTTTAATCTGAGGCTGTAGCTCAGCACTGGAGCTCTTGCCTAGTACTTAGGCCTTGGTTTCCGTTTCCAGCCAATCAAGACAACTAAAATCCTTCCCTCTCTTGATTAACTAGTATTCTTGGGCATATATTGAACTTTATTTTAATAATTAAATGTAAAGTTTCTCTGTTATATAATCTATATAATTACAGCCTAAAGAAATGCTGACTATTTTAATGCACCCTTTAAGAATAATCGCTTTTTTTACATTTCTAGATGCTTTCTATAATTTTTCTTTTTTTTTGGGTGCTGCTGGGGATGGAAGCCAGGGCATTGCACATACTAGGCTATCCCTCTACCACTGAGCTACATCCCCAGTTCTTGTTTGTTTGTTTGTTTTTGTTTCTAGAAAGCTTGACAAAATATGTCAACTTCGGGCTGGGAAGGTGGTTCAGTGGTAGAGCGCTTGCCTTGCATGCCTGAATCCCTGGGTTCGATTCCTCAGCACCACATAAGCAAAAAGAAAAGGAAGTGGCGCTGTGGCTCAAGTGGTAGAGCGCTAGCCTTGAGCTGAAGAGCTGAGGGACAGTGCCCAGGCCCAGAGTTCAGGCCCACGACCGGACCCCCCCCCCAAAAATGTCAACTTCATAATTTAATGCCAGCTGGAAAACAAAACATGAAAGCATTCAATTTTAGTATATGGATTCTGTGGGAATGTATTTAAGACTTTCTGAGCATGAAGGGAATCTTCAAAGTTTGAAGAATTAAGGAAGTACACTTGTGCATCAATCAGTTACTAGGTTATCCAAAAAGTTTGGCTTAACAGGATCATAAACAGTCATCCCATAGTTTCTCTGGGTCAGGAATTCAGAAATGACTTTCAGGTGAATTTGGCTTTGCATTTTTTCATGAGGTTTCTATGAAGATACCTGCTGGGGATACCGTCCTGTGAAGGCATGATGATAGCGCTGTAGGAGCAACTTCAAATATATTTTGTCATCACCTAATGGCATTTCCCAAGTTTTTATTACAGCACACTTTTCAAGAAACTCTGGTTCTAATAGAACCTATCATATTCCTCCTGGGCAAGATAGTTTTTGTCTCCATTGTTTTAACTGACTTTCTCAAAAACCCTCTAAGATGCATTTTTTATTTTACGTATAATGAAATGGGCTCGGAAAATTGTATATGTAGTTTGCCTGCAGTTTGCTGAAGGTTCACATAAGAAATGACAGAATGTGTTGGAAAAAATGAAAATTCATAACTAATTGGGTTTGAAGTGTAGATGTTGTAAAATATGTCATATCAGCAGGCAATTAAAAATTATCTGGCACTGGAGGAAGAAGTAATAGCTTCAAGGCATAGATTATTTGTTTTTTAAATTATTATAAAGATAATATACAGAGAGCTTACAATTACATGTCAGGTAAAGAGTACATTTTGTTTTGCTCTCTCCCAGTTTTTTCCTGCCATATCTACCCATAAGTTTCAACACAGTGTCCACTGAATACCATTGCTGCATTTGTTTACCCTTTGTCTTTCCATTTCTGTGCCTCTCTTTAGACCCTCAAATACATATAAACAAGCAACAGAACAAAAAGAAAACAAAAACAGCAAAAAAGAAAAAACCTTGTCAAGGCATAATTTGAAACTCAAGCTTGACTGATCAAACTGAAGGAGAGGAACAGATTTTTATGAAGGAGAATGTAAGTAAGAAAATGTGGAACAATGAGAGCATCTAACCATCTTGAGAATAGATAGAATGTGGAAACCATTTTTTAAAACTAATTTTTATATATCTAAAAAAGAATAGTTCCTAATGTATTTTATCGTTATAAAAATGTATTTGGAATTTTTGTTCTAGCTTTTAAAGATGTCCAATGAAGAATCTTGTGGGAAAGAAGAAGATGCTCAAAGAAAAAGCTGTGCCTCTTCAGTTATTTTTGATGTAGTAAGAATTTTTATTTATAGACCTAACAATGTCTTGGTCCCCCTAAGTTCCCTCCCCTTTCCTTCCTTCCCCCTTTTTCCTTATTTATTTATTTATTCTTCTTTTTATTACGACTGCTTAAAATTAGGGACCTCTTGCTAGCATAGCTTATTTGCTCATGGCTGGTGCTCTACCACTTGAGCCACACCACAAGTCAAGCTCTTTGCTAGTTAATTTGAGATGGAATCTCATGGACTTTTGTGCCTGGGCTGGCTTTGAGCCATGATCATCCAGGTTTTCCCCCTGAGTATCTAGGATTATAGGTGTGAGCCACCAGCACCTGGCTATGGCTTATGTTTATGTAATAAAAAATACAATTTTTGCATTGAGATAAGTAAATACTTTATTCTGCCTATGTAGCCTAGAAGAAGTAAGTTGATTTTCTCATTCCTTATTTGTGTTATTTTTCTTATTCTTTATAATTTTATGAGGTAGTTACTGTTATCTCAGTTGCACAGATAAAAAACTGAGGCTTAGAGTACTGAGAGGAAAATACTTTTCATTTGTGACCTCAATTCTAAGCCCATTTTGACATTTGTAATAACAATTCATGATTACACTGCTTCCCACATTTTCTTTCTTCATTTCTTCAGCTTTGGCCAGAGTTGCACTACTGTCAATGGCCAAAGTTTGTCAGATGATACTGTTAATGTTAGAAAAGGTATACTTTCCATGTTCCTTTCTCTATTTTCAACACTACATTTAAGACGTATTTGGGAGATGAAATTTAGAGTATGTTATAACTTGGGTGATACTGTTTCTAGGAAGTAAGAACAATGTAATTGATATCAAAACCAGTAAAAGAAAACCTCATCTAATTGGTTTTATTGTATACTTTATGAATAGTCTGCATAATTCATCACCAGAATTAGTGTGTGTGTGCTATTTTACCATCCATAATGTGGGACTAATCTTGCAAAGGTGACTATCCACTTAAGTGGTTTCTGTGTTGTAGGTTAGTTCATAAGACTTTAATGACCAGAATGAAATAGTCAAGATACATTGTACTCTTTGATGTTTGTTCTTTGCTTCTTATAAGCTTTCTGAATATGAATTTAGTCTCCAAGTTATAGTGGTAATTAGGAAAGGGACCTTGGACATGGTCATATAGTATTTTTTTGTCCTTGATTTATATCCCTACTACCACCATTTATCATTCTTGAACTGTATGCCATTTTTGGGGGGGCGGGGGAGGGGTCCGGTCGTGGGCCTGAACTCTGGGCCTGGGCGCTGTCCCTCAGCTCTGAAGCTCAAGGCTAGCGCTCTACCACTTGAGCCACAGCGCCACTTCCGGCTTTTTTCTTTTTGCTTATGTGGTGCTGGAGAATCAAACCCAGGGCCTCATGCATGCAAGGCAAGCACTCTACCACTGAGTCACCTTCCCAGCCCCTTGTATGCCATTTTTAATTCTTTTCCATTCCTTCTGACAAGTAGTCTAGTCAGATGTTTTCTTGTCATTATTTCTTTAAATGTGATGTCTACGAGGCCAGTGGTGGTTTTCATGTTGCTAAACCTCATTAGTCAGTTCCTCAACCTCATCTGCCTTGATTTACCAGCAGTGTTTTTCATAGTTAATTATGCCTTCCTCTTGAAACACTTTCTTCACTTAGCTTCTGAGATACTGTACTCTTCATTTTTCTAATGAATGCTTGTGTCTCAAACTCCTCTGCTGGTTCTCCTTATCTTTTTAGATAATAAGCTTTCAAGTGCCCAGGCTCACAATTTCCCCAGTTGAGTCAATTGCAATTTCATTCACTTACTTGCATAAAAATCCTAGGAGCATCCTCTACTGGTATCCAGTCTATTAGTGATTTCTATAAATTTATTTTTAAATAACAATTTTTATTGTTATTATAAAAGTGATGTACAGAGGAGTTGCAGTTACATAAGTCAGGAAAAGGGTAATTTCTTTTGGACCCTTTCTCTCATTCTCTCCCAGAGCTTTCTTTTCTTTTTTATAATATAGTCAAAGTCTTAAGACCTTTATTATTGCTATTCCATGGTCTAAGCAGCCAACTTGTTTTCTCCAGTTATCCCAGTAGTTTCTGTTTTTACCTTTGCCTCTTCATGGTCTATTCTTATTTTTGTCTTTTATTGGTGCTGATCCTGTAGCTTGAACTCCGGGTCTGGGTACCATCCCTGACCTTTTTTGCTTAAGGCTAGTGCCCTGCCACTTTGAGCCATAGCTTCAGTTCCAGCTTTTTGGTGGTTAATTGGAGATAAAAGTCTCACAGACATTTTGCTTGGGCTGGCTTCCAGTTGTGATACTCAGATCTGAGTTTCCTGAGTAGCTAGGATTATAGGTGTGAGCCACTGGTGTTCGGCTTCTTGGTCTATTCTTAACCCAGTAGTTGTTAATGTAAACAAATCATGATTCCTTTGTTCAATAATTTCTATTGGTTTTTCATACCATTCAGAGTGAAAACTTAACCATGCGTGTTGGGGCTAACAAAACTACCTGCTTTCCCCAATCTCATCTCCCCATTACTCTCTTCTATGCTACTGGCTTACTTGTTCCAGGATCTCAGCTTATTTGTGCCTCTCAGGGCCTTGGTTTTGCTGATTGTTCTCTTTTGAGTTGAAACTCTTTTTCTTTTTATTCATATTCTGTGTTTCTTCTTTTTGTTCTGGTCTCTATTCAGATGTCAACATGTCAATGGGATCAGTTTTAACTGAATATCCCAAATCCTCCCACTTTCAGCTCCCAGCCCATCCTATCTACTTCCTCTCTTTATTCTGCTATATCATGTGACTGCACTGGATTTTTGGCACTGGATTTTTAACCTATGGGCCTTTACTATCTTTCGATTAATCTCTTCTCACTGTTCTTTGCAGTAGGTACTCCTAACAAGTTTGTTCTTGGTCCATTGAATTCAAGATCTACTAAAAACTGATGGGATGTATGGTTTTACTTTGTTGAAGACTGAATCCCACCATGACAGTGTCAACTTTTACTACATTATTATCTGAGCTGTCAGCTGGCCTGCTGTGCAACTGTATGCATCTCATCTCTAATTGATGAGTATACAGGCTCATAAATCAGAATATTTCTAGTTCAGTTTTCTTTCTAGTAGTCTTTCTTCTTATCAAAGTTTATATGTCTTTAAGTGTCCTCCTCTGAAGTACATTATTAAATAGGAATATCAATGTGGAATAATGATGAAATACTGCTGAGTGTACTTTATTTTGAACTTTTCTGTTTTTTCCTCTTTCCCACCAAATGCCATTCTTAGGACAAGGAGGAAAAACCTTCAGCCAGTTCTATTCGTTCACCTTACTCTATAAGACCAGTTTCATCGGGGAAGAGAAAACTGGTGAGTGTTAAATACTGTAATGACTTGTATTCCCAGCTGCTTGACAGGTGGAGACAGGAAGATGGAAGTTTGAGACCATGTTGGACAAAAGGTAGTAAGAGAGGTTGGAGGCGTGGCTCATTTGGTAGAGGGCTAGGCAATGATTTGAAAGGGATGCCCAGTTCAAGTCTCAGTCTCAGACCTAAAAAAAAAAAAAAAGTGACATCCTATCACAAAAACCAGGCAGAGGTAATGGTACACATTGCTTTTCAGACTATATCTGAAAAGAAACTAAATGCAAAAGGACTAGCACGTGGCTTAAATGGCACTTGCCTAGCAGGTGTAAACCCCACTACTACTAGGAAAAAAGATATTGTAACTAACTAAATGATGTTCATGAAGTTTTTTGTTTAAGAGTTGAGGTCTCACTTTGTTGCCAAAGCTAACCTGACTTCTGAGGATCAAAGCATTCACCCTACCTCAGCCCCGCAAGTCTCTGAGGGCTTTTCTGCCCAGGCTGGCTTCAAACTGTGATCCTCAGATCTCAGCCTCCTGAGTAGCTAGGATTATAGGTGTGAGCCACCAGTGCCCAGCTATTTTAGTTATTTTTGAGTATCTTTGTGCTTCTCATTTCTGGGACAACAGATGTGTACCTTTGTGCCAAGCTATTGGTCATGATGTGTGAAGACTTAGGGTCTGTGTTGGAGGGGTGAATGATGCAGGCTCTGGCCTCAGGATTATCTGAGGACTGTGTTTGTGTATGTGGAAAGCTCTTGGCATGCCGGGCTAGAGAGGGAACATGTTCTCTCTCCCTGTCTCAAAGCACAAGTCACAGACTACTGGGAGCTTAGGAAGTAGCTCTTCTGCTTGCTTAAGCATAGACGAACAGCTAGTCAAGCATTTTCCTGAGTATGGGGAAGTGGTTTGAGCTTGCTCTAAAATAGTTTAGGTAAAATATACAAAGACATTGTCTCATAGGTTAAGTAAAATTGTATCTGTTGAAATTCTTTGTGTGAATGTCTCCTGACTAAATCTTGGCAAAAATAATGCTTGCTTGTCTTTAAACACTCACTAACAATAAAGCACAGCATGAAGTGGCAATTGCTGTTTGCACTCTGCATCCCCTGTGTTCTGGTGATTTGCAACCCTTACCCAGGGACCCCAAGCCTTAGACGCTGACAGTGATGGAGTCTGGACTTTTTTTTTTTTTTTAAATGTGGAACTGACCTCAAGCCAGATTATCCTCATCTCTACCATCCAGATAACTAGGGTTACATCTTTAAACTAAGATGCCTGATTCATTTTTCAATCTTTAGAATGTATTTTGTCTACCTTTTTTTTCCTGAGGACCTTCACCTTTTGGTGGTGGATGTTTTGAACTCCTTAATACTGACTGGCTATTCTTCTGCTTTGAAGCTTAGCTATATCTTTATTTCTACATATCCTTTTTTGTTTTTCTTTTGTCAGTCATGGAGCTTGAACTCTAGGGCTGGGCGCTGTCCCTCAGCTCTATAGCTCAAGGCTAGCACTCTACCACTTGAGCCTCAGAGGGTTTCCTGGTGGTTTATTGGAGATAAGAGTTTCACAGACTTTCCTGCCCAGGCTGGCTTTGAACCCTGATTCTCAGATCTCAGCCTCCGGAGTAGCTAGGATTACGGGTGTGAGCCACCAACAGTTCAGCTTTCAACGTTACCTTTCTTGGGTATCACCCCAGAGTACAGAGTGGTCTGTCTGCTACTGACTTTTTCTGTGATGATGAGGTAGATATCTAATTCTGTTTAAGCCTTTGGTGTTTTATTTGTAAAATAAGGATGATAATTGGGAGGATTAAATAAATTATTATGGCAGCCTATTTGTAGTTAGGGAAAAGAATTATGTCCTAATCTCCTTTCTCTGTCACTTTAACTCTAATGCACAATTTATATTTTCTAAATGATGTTTTTAATTTTTTAATTTTTAGAAATCAGATCATACAGACATTCTATATTGTAATACCAAAAGACGACAAGACCTGAAAAGGTAAAATCCATTTTTTTTCTACAAAGCTTTTTACTATTTTGCCTTAAAAAATAAGACTAATTTTCTTTTTCTTTATTGCTAGTGATCAAACCCAGGACCTAGCACATGTGAGGCAAGTGCTATACCACAACATGATAAACCAGTCCTAGTAATTTGAGACAATCTTGATATATACTCCGGGCTGGATTCAGAATTGTAATCTTCCTGCCTGTGCCTCAAGTATTAGGAGGCTTGTGCCACAGTACCTGGCTTATTTTTTCATATGCTGAAGTAGCCACATAGTATCACTGTTTTCCTTTATTATTTTTCTCATTGTTAGGAAGTTCTCTATTAAGAAGTATATAAGCATCCCATTTTTTTCTGTAGTTACTAAAGTTTCAATGAAAAGTACAGTGATTATGATAATTTTTTAAATTGTTTCAGAATTTATTTTGTCTGATATTAGTAAAATTAACTCTCTTTCAAATAGTAAACCAGTGATTCCAACGCTATATGTTAATCCATAGTAAACCAGTGATTCCACATTATTTGTTAATACTTCCCACCTCTACCCTCCCCCACTGCACTCTATTCTTTCTTCCTTTTCTGCTCCGCCCCACCCCACACTGCACTCCCTCTCCCCTGTCTTCTCTCCCCACCCCTTCACTCATCTCTCTATCTCTTCTCTCTCTCTCATTGAAGACCAAACTCAGGTCCTTGTACTTGTCTACTTTTTTCTTACTGTCAACCCTAACAAAAGTTATATCATAAGTATTATTTGTAATGAAGTAGAGGTTTTTCTGCTTCTTTACAGATTGAATGCAAAAATTGATATACCCAGAAAGAAACAAAAATGCAGTTCTTCATCTCAAGAATCTGTTAAACTCCAAGAAGCATCATACTCAAATGCTAACCAGATTACATCACAGAGTCTTTCAAATGGAACTAAAAAAGATATTAAATTTACAAATGTAAGGAGTAAGCTTGACTTTGGAATTAAAAATTTTAGCTGTCCTAAAATTGCCAAAGATGTGAAACCTAAAGCTGAAAACCAGATGAAGGAAAAGAAATGGCCTCATTTACTTGCTCAGAGGGAAAAGGTGAAAGAAATCAAGAATGAAAGGACCAATAAATTTAGAGACAATTCTGAAGAATGTATCTTGGTGAAATACAAGAAAAATCAATTTTCTCATGATTATAATTCCAACAACATAATTAAGGAACCTTTTGAATCTAAAGGAAAGAAAATCAGCTTCAGAATTCCAATAAAATCCTTTAATACCCGCCAGAAACTACTAGAAGAAAATGTTTACAATTTAGAATATAACAAGTCAAAGACTAAGCAGGAAGAAAAAGAACGCCTGGAAAGTTCCCGGATTTTATTAAGTTTAACAAGGCACAAAACCGAACACTTGTGTTCAAATTCCACATATAAGCAGACTGTTAATGAGAGGAAAAGAAAATATCATGAGTATCAAGAAAGTAATGATTCAAATTCTAAGGAAAACCTTACCCAGGTAAGTACAAAATGAGGAATTTGGGTTTAGCAATAAACAATTGGTAAGGTTTTAGTTTCTTTTATTACTGATGATAATCATTATGGACTCATTTAATCTTGGTTGTAAAGATAACAGATCTCTTATTTTCTAATTTCAATTTCCCTAAGGTTATATTCTGGTCATCAAGGATCTGTAACAGAAGGGAATGTGTAAATGCATACAAAGAAGTACTTACAGATATTTGTGTGGGGGGACAAAAGCACTATAAATCTTGTATGCTTTTTGAAATCCAATACTAAAGTCTTTAGGGGCTAATAGTCTAGTTGTCACTGTATAACATGCACTGTAATAAAATAGTCTATAAGAGGTATACAGTGTGTTTTCAGGGATTATTTATGTAAATTAATGCAAATTAAGTACACTTAATATTGGCATGCACAGCATGAGATTAACATAGCTTTAGTATACCTTGACTGAAGGAAGTAACTTGAATTTCCTTAGATACAAGTGAAGTACTTTGGAATGAGGAAGCAAGGCTATTTTAGGCAGAGGTATGGTATGTTTTGCTTTTCGATTGGGTGAAAATTGGCATTTGTGGACTCTTGAGATCCAATCTCCATAGCTTTGTTTATATGGAAAATAAAAACTTTTAGATATTTGAACTTAGAAATGAATTAGACTGCACATAAACAGCACTTTTGGATATCAAGACTACAGACTGTGAAGCTGAGGCAGGAGATTTACTTGAGCCCAGGGGGATGGACTGAGCATTATAATGAGATCCTAGTTCAAAAGATGCTTCCCTTTTGTTCTTGTTTTGTTTAATGTTACTAGAGTTTAAACTTGGGTGCTGATGTTTGAACCCAAAGTCTTGCACCTGGTAGGCAGACATTCTACCAATTAGTCAACTCTGCAAGCCCCTGAAGATACTTTCTGGGTAAAGATGGATTATAACTGAGGAGGCAGAAGAATGGTTTAGGAAGTTGTATTATTGTTATTGTTGTTAGTGCTGGGGCTTGAACTCCAGGCTAGGTTGGAGCTTAACACCTAGAACATTACCTCCAGCCCTATCTTTTTGCTTGTTATTTTTGTGATAACATCTTTCTGTCTGGGTTGGTTTCAAATCTTTTTGCTCTTAGCCTTCCCTGTAGCTAGGATTCAATTATATCTTACAGATGAAAGAAATTAACTGAAAGATAATCAGGGAAGCAAAATAATCACATTTTCCAGTTAGAAAGTATTGGTAGCTAAAACCATTACTATCCTCATTCTTGCTACTCTCTGGTCTTCACCTGGGAAGGCTTGGTCTTAATCCATGTATTTAAAAAGGCATGCTGCAGGAAGGCAAATTAAATGCTATTAAAACTTTCATTTTTAGTAGGGAGGAATTGATTTGGGACAACAGAAATGAACTTTTCTGGATTGTTAAGTGATGAAAATACCTTAACTACCCAGAGAACAAAAGGGGTATTTGAAGCTCAAAGAAAAAAATAAGAATATTTGAATTTCAAGAGTTTTAGGGGCTGGGAATGTGGCTTAGTGGTAGAGTGCTTGCCTACCATGCATGAAGCCCTGGGTTCAATTCCTCAGTACCATATACACAGAAAAAGCCAAGAAGTGGTCAGATTTAGAGTCAGCACTGGAAGTGTAGCTTTATTAGTTGAGAGCCTATCTTGCAAGTATAAGGCTCTGAGGTCAAACTCTAGGACTGAAAAAAAAGAGAAAAATTAGAGGAACTTTATGAAATTCTTTGGTCCAATTAGTACACACACATATCAAAGAATGATAGGAAAGTAAAACAGGCTCAAATAAGGGAGTGGGCATCAAAAGGAGGGGAAAGGGATGACAAAGAATGGAAATGAGGATAAATGTGGTCAATATAGTTTATTTGTGTGAAAATAGAACAATGATATCTGTTGATGTTGCTTTAAGAAGGGATAGTGGATGGGAAAGAAAAGCTATAAGATTGATTAGGATATATTGTATACATGTGTAGAAATATAACAAGACTTTGTATAACTAATGTATGCTAATATATTTTTAAAAGTAAAATAAGAAAACTAAAATCAGAGCAGAGATTATAAATTGCCATGGTCATGAAATTTTAAAGCTATAATGAGCTGATATAAATGATGCAGGTAGTTATAAATGATGCAGGTAGCGTTATGTCATAGGAATTTTGATGTAGAGATAGGATGGAAGCTAAATTCCCACTGAAGCATTTTTGTAAATACTGTATTTGTTTAAAAGGGGTTCTATAATTTGTGTTACAGTTTCCTCTAAAATACATGTGAATTTGCAGTTATCTTGAAAAATTCTTAAAAAATGATTTTTATTTTATTTTTTGCTGAGTGAGCAACCTGTTATTTTTTTGCTGAGCTTCCTGTCACCTGTACATAGGATCAGGTTAGGACTTAACTTATTCGTTGAGAAAATGTGCCAGTTCATAAGAGGCTGAGGCAAGAAGATCAAGAGTTCTGGGCCAGTCTGGCTATATAGGAATACCAATTCAAAAAATCTAGAAAACCAGCAAAAGAAGTTCTAGTACAAGGCTGGGAAGGTAGCTCAGTGGTAGAGTGCTAGCCTAGTATGCATGAAACCCCAGGGTTTAATTCCTCAGCACCACAGAAACAGAAAAAGCCGGAAGTGGTGCTGTGGCTCAAGTGATGAGTGCTAGCCTTGTGTAAAAGCTCAGGGACAGTGCCTAGGCCCTGAGTTCAAGCCCCAGGACTGGCAAAAACAAAAAACCACAAACAAGTGCTGATACCAAGTTGGAATGTTAGAAGACAAAAAAATAAAACACCAAGCACATTATACAACTGTGAATTTTTCAGTCTTCTGTTTTGCCTGATTACAGTCCTCCAGTTCCTTTTGTTTTGCCATGTCCCTTTTAGAAATGGCTCCTTGGCTTCCATCACTGAAGGCCAGTTTTTTTTTTTTATCATGTTTCTTTCTATTTCTTAGAGTGCATATAGCTCAGCATTGAGGAGATGAGTATATTTAGTACTGAAAGCCCCAAATAATTTTACTCCCAGGTTACATGAATAGAATGGGGCTTTTCTGTGGAGAATCAAGGGACCCTTAGAAATGTCTAAAGATGGAGAGTGTGAGTAGTGCTACTGACATCTAGTGGTCAGAGTCCAGTGATGCTGCTAAACATCTTAGAAGGTACAGGACAACCCCCTAACTCCCACCCCAAATGTTAATAGTGTCAAGTTTAAAAACTTGTGTGTTTCATTCCTAACTAATATAATGATTCTTTTCACTTCAGAATTTTGAAGCACCATGTTCATCAGTGTCACCTGAAAGTGTTCAAGATACAGATCAAGAGGTTACTTATTTACTTTGAATATTTTAATGAAATTCAAACAGTTCCCACTTTTTCTTACATGAAAGGATTTGTACCTTAAATTTAAGAGATTAAAAAGCTATATCTATCTGTGTCTATTGGTAGATATCAATATCTGTACTGGTAGATCTATTTATAGATATCTATGGATTATATATATGTATGTACATATACATATATGAAATACCCAGGAAAGCACTGTGTATAACTACATATGGCGCAAAATGCATAAAGGATTGATATAGAAAATTTATTGAATATGATACAAAATATTCAGGAATTTCTATTAACAGTTTTGCATGTTAGTACGAAAAGAAATTGTCAATGTAATATTTAATTGTAGAAATTGTTTAATTTTTTTTGCAGCATGAGTTGTACACTGAGTAGAGATCCTGAGTTTTTCTCAACTATCTGACGTTAAACACCTTTTACTGAAAGTATACAGTAAAATTACCCTACAGACTTACCAACATTCCCCAAACCTCTGCAACCCTTTTATTGTTCTGAGCTAGATTTCACGAACCTTGAATTTCATGGTTGACTAATGTTTTTTTTTAGTAGAAACTGTTGATAGACAAATATTAGATCATTTTGTAGTCTTTCTATATAGCAACCACCAAAAGTAATAGATGATAACAGCATTAGCTATGGATGATATGACATCTGTATATTTTCTTACTAATGAGGGTAAATGCTTTGGTCTTGGAAACAGAAGAGTTTACTTCCATCTGTGCTCAAGGCTCTCCGCTAACAGTGTTACTGAGATTGTTTTATTCAGTCCTCACAAAAGCCTGACAAAGAATAGGTATTTAATATTCTTTCATGTAAATGAGCAACTGAGACCCAAGATAGTGAAAGAATTTGTTTCTTCAACGTTACAAAGTAAGAGAAGGAAGTACATTTATAAATATACCTTGCTGTCTTCATATTTCTATGAATTTTTAAGTGACTTAATGAGTGTGTTCTTATTAATCAGCAAAGTAAGCAACTCAGAATATTTCACTGAGGTCTTTTATAATTTAGATGCAGATAGTAGAAGAACTCCATGCTGCACGCGTGGGGAAAAGTGTGGATTTACCTGTTGTTCCACCTTCTGGAGAGTTAATGAATATGGAAATTGACTTGATGGAAGATGATGTACATTCTTCTGCTGGTATTCCTTATACATTAATGTTTATGATGTCCTGTGCTTGCCCACAAGTTAATAATGTGCAAACATTCAGTTTTTACCTTATTTAGATGAAGGTTCATATGAAATGAAGTATGGTGTATTTTTTTTTTTTTTTAGGTTTAGGAATCAGGTCTAATATTTGTCTTATCATTTGTTTTCTTTCTTTTTTTGAGGGGGGGTGTCCAGTCATGGGCCTGAACTCTGGGCCTGAGTGCTGTCCCTCAGCTCTTCAGCTCACGACTAGTGCTCTACCACTTGAGCCACAGCACCACTTCTGGCTTTTTTTTTCTCCTTATGTGGTGCTGAGGAATCGAACCCAAGGCCTTATACATGCAAGGCAAGCGCTCTTCCACTGAGCCACCTCCCCAGCCCCTTATTTGTTTTCTAAACATCTCACATTATTAGGCAGTTAGAAATAATTCTCATCCTTTGCCAAAAAACAGTAATCAGAGTTCTGAATTCTTTATTCTTGGCTATTAACCACAACTGTTTACCAGTTTCAACTGAGTAAAACACTGTTCAGATATAAGACAGATTGTCTGAAGGTATTCTTTTCTGTGTCTTTGTGGTATCAAAACTTTAGTCATTATACAACACAACTTTGTTATCAAGTGATCTTGGAATTTTACTTTTGTTCTTTTCCTTAAGCAAATACTGCTTTGGACAAAAAACTTCTAATTGTTATTGACACGAATGTTCTAATGAATCATCTTAAATTTGTGAGAATTTTGAAGACAACAGAAATACCAGGTATTTACAAAGCATACTTTATAAAATTCAAATACTTTTTCTTGAATTGTTACTTTATATTTAGCTGTACATATAAAATCAGCTCAAATTTTACGAAAGAGATCCTTCTTAAGTTAGCAGTCTAAAACTCACTTTAACTCACCTTTTAAAGTGTTATTTATTATAATTCAAAATTATTTATTATGAAAACTTAATTAGGAACCTTGATTATAAATGTTTGCTAAACTCATTCTTTTTTGTTCTCTAGTTGTAGTTATTTTTTTAAACATTGTTCTGACTTTACATTCTATTTTTAATTTATTTTCTTATTTATTGTGAATTTCTTAAAGATAGGTGCTATGTGTTATAACATTTTTAGTTCTCCTTTGGCAATTGGATTTAATTCAATAAATGTTGGTTGGGTTCTGAGAAATCTTTGTTTTTTTAGGATTTGACAGACTTGTATTAATAATTCCCTGGGTTGTTGTGCAAGAGTTAGATCGTATGAAGGAGGGAAAATTACTAAAACATGCCCAACACAAAGCTATACCCGCAATTCATTTCATCAATGACAGTCTCAAAAATCAAGATAGAAAATTATGGGGTCAATCAATACAACTTGCATCTCAGAAACTTTGTGAGTATTGTCTTTCAAGATGCTTGCTTATTGGTAGACTTGTTTGGGTACTGACTTACTATTGGGAGGAAACAGATCAAAGCTCTAAAAAAATATGCTTATTGGAATGTGAAATGGAACGGATATTGTGATGGTGTGTGGATTATTTTGGGATTCCTTGGTTTTTATTTACCTTTTTGTTTCTCCTAGACTTTCTCAGGTTCTGTCAGTATTTCCCATAAAGTAACTATATAGTACTTTATAGTATATACAACTGCATTACCGAGTTTTGTTTTTGTGGGGAAGTCAGTATGTGATTTTTGAACTCAAGGCCTTAACCCCTTACTAGGCAAGCATTTCACCACCAAGACCTCAGCCATTTTTGCTTGAGTTTGTTTTTCAGATAGGGTCACTGCCTGGGACCAGTATCAGATACTGGTTTCTTTACCTAACAAAGCCTTCTGAATAGCTGGGATTACTGTATGATCCCCCTCTCCTGGCTTGTATGTTGAGATGGTTGTCTCACTTTTTTTTTTTTTGTCAGTGATGGGGCTTGAACTGGGCCTGAGCGCTGTCCCTCAGTTCTTCAGCTCAAGGCAGGTGCTCTACCACTTGAGCCACAATGCCACTTCTGGTTTTCTGGTAGTTTATTGGAGATAAGAGTTTCACAGCTTTTCCTGCCTGGGGCTGGCTTCGAACCATGATCCTCAGATCTCAGCCTCCTGAGTAGCTAGGGTTACAGGTGTGAGCCACCAGCGCCCCGCCTGTGTGTCTCACATTTTGATAGACTTGGTCTTCCACCTTGGTCCTCTCATACTCTTATTTCCCACTAGCTGGGATTATAGGCATGAACCATCAAACCCAGCCTAAATTTACTGGTACTGGGGCCTGAACTCCAGGTCTCATTTTCTCAGTCAGCTTTTTGGGTCTTGGGTGGTTGTTGCTCTGCCACATGAGCCACACCTCTATTTTTGGCTTTTTGCTGGTTAATTGGAGATAAATCTCTAGAATTTGTCTTCCTGGGTTGGCTTTGGACCGTGACTCTCAGATCTCAGCCTTCTGAGTAATTAGGATTATTGGTCTGAGATATTGGTGCTTGGCTTCATGTCATTTTAAGAGCTAACTAACCATTTATACTTGATGGGGACAATTTTAAGAAATAGGTGGTTAGGTGATATCACCAATGTATGAATATCAGAGTGTACCTACATGAGCATACTAATATAAGCATTCCCTGGCATGGCTTCTAGATGTAATGAATAGACATAGTCAACATAAGATGAAGAAGGCTTCTGTCAATATAACACAAATACACTGTTCTAGAGCGAAGTTTCTTGTAAATAGGAATACACTCTAAATTATAATAGAACTTACAGAAATCAGTAAGTCATTTATTATCTTTATGAAGTGTTATGTATTGTATTTACTATACCTTTACATGACTGACAGCACAGATTTATTTGTACCAGCATTACTACACACTTGAATAATGCATTGTGCTATGAAATAACTAGATATTAGGTATTTTCCAACCATTATAATCTTGTGAGACTACCATGTGTCCATGATTGGCTAAAATAATCATTCATTATATGATAATCTATTACATATTTATTGCAGAGGAGTTTTCTAATTTAAATAATTAAAAATTGAGGCCTATATGGTAAAAATGGAGAGGAAAATACTGTAAAATGGGACCAAGGTTAGGGCTCATTAACAAAAATATTTTGAATCAGTGTTTAATAAGAAATTCACCAAAAGCTTGAATCAGTGCCTGGTGGTTCCAAACTATAGAGACTATCATCCAAAATCAATTTGAGGTGTGGTCCTACAATTATTAGTAGACACCCAAGGGAATTCTGAGATAGGTAGATTAATAACCTGTTATAAACATTGTTTTTGGTACTATATCTACACTTAACAATATTTTCACAAAAGCAAATTTTATTGTATGTTTTAGGGCTCAAAGGATGCCAGAGGATACCCTTGGCAACTAATTAGCATTTGTTAGTTTCTAGTCTGACATTTAGCTTACAGGGTTGCATTTCTTTTTTTTTTTGTCAGTCATGGGGCTTGAACTCTGGGCTTGGGTGCTGTCCCTCAGCTCTTCAGCTCAAGGCGAGCACTCTACCGCTTGATCTACAGTGCCACTTAAGTTTTTTTCTGGAGATCAGAGTCTCACGGTCTTTCTTGCCCGGGCTGGCTTTGAACCATGATCCTCAGATCTCAGCCTCCTGAGTAGCTAGGATTACAGGCGTGAGCCACCAGCGCCAGCGCCCGGCACAGAGTTGCATTTCTTTCTTTCAAGTTTGCTGATAGGCATATTCTAGTCTGTTTTAGTAATAAACTATTCACTTAGTTATTGAGCAACTATATGTTATGTGAATTTCAGAGCTAGAAGGTGTATTTTACTATTTTTTATTTAAAGATTTTTTTTCAGATACATTTAAAAAATGGACTTAGAGCAGCAGCTTTACCTTTAAGAAGAAAATACAGAGATTTCCTACATATTCCCCGTTCCCACATGTGTAGCCTCCATCATTATTATCCTTACCCTTACCAAACTAGTAAATTTAGCACAGTTAGTGAACCTACATTGATACATTTTAACCATAGGCAGCAGTTTATATTAGGTAAATATAATCTGAGGCTTTGGCTTATATTAGGTGTTAATGTATAGTGCATACATTTGGAGAAATGACATATTTATCATTGTAGTATCATAGAGTAGTTTTATTGCCCTTAAAGTTACAGATATTTTTAATTGGTAAATGTAGCCTCAGTTGTTGATGTTCCCATCTGTTTATTGATAATTGCCTTTGCTAAATTTGCAGATGGATTGAGTGATGAAAACAATGATGACCGAGTCCTAAAATGCTGTCTCCAATACCAGGAATTATTCCCCTGTTCTCTTGTTATTCTGTGCACGTGAGTTTCATAGCCATTGTTTTCTCTTTTTTTAAAACTTACTTATTTTTATTGTATAGGTAATATACAGAGGGGTTATAGTTACATAGATCAGGTATGAATACATTTCTTTTTGAACAATGTTGCCTCTTCCCTCATTTTCTCCCAGTTTTTCACTCTCAACCCCACTCCCCCATATGTTGTATAGTTCATTTTCAACATAGTGTCTAGTGAATATCACTGCTAAGTTAGTTCACCCTTTGTCCCACCATTTCTGTGCTTCCCCTTGCCTTCCCCAAAACAGATAACCTTATTATAAGACAAAAAGTACAGAAATCAAAACAGCAACAAAAGGGGAAAAACAACAACAAAAAACCCACCAAAAGTAAATTAAAAAACCTCTTGTTCTCATTTCTTGGAGTTCATTTCAATAGAGCTTATACCAAAGAATTTAAAAAATCGTATGTATGAAATGAAAGGATCAGTGAATAATTATTTTTTATGTCTTCCATTAATCTCAGTTATAAGCTCTAGAAGAATAAGATCGTAAGTAGATGAAATTTCATTTTATTTGAGTTTGGATTCTATTCAGAAAGTCTTTTCAAAAATGAGGAAAATCTCAGTATCAAGCTCTGACAGAATTTTTTAGTTAGAAGAGAAAACAAATTTGAGTATTTATGGAGATGGAATCATTTATGTTATAGTTCTGTTGTGTAGTTAGACTGGGTCTACCAGTTGTCACTATATGACCTTCACCAATTTAACTTCTTTATGTATAATAAGACAGAGGAAATGATATCTGCCTCATAAAGTTATTTATTTTTTGGTCAGTTGTGGGGCTTGAACTCTGGGCCTGGGTGCTGTCCTTCAGCTCTTCATCTCAAGGCAGGTGCTCTACCACTTGAGCCACAGCACCACTTCCAGTTTTTCTGGTGACTCGTTGGAGATAAGAGTCTCATGGGGAATTTCCTGTCTGGGCTGGCTTTGAACCGCGATCCTCAGATCTCAGCCTCATGTGTAGCTAGGATTACAGGTGTGAGCCACCAGCACCTGGCTCATAAAATTATGTTATTAAATCATATTATATTGAATCATACTTAATATTTAATCATATTTAATATGTCAGAGATTTTGAATAGTGTTGAAGTGTTCCTAGTTACCATGAACTGAGACTTAGGTGTTCACCATGAACTTTTCCTTTCTTCCCCTTTCTTTCTCTCCTAATTTTCGTAACTTAGTACTAAGATAAAACTAATGTAATATGCAGAAAAATTGTATTTATTGTGTTTGGGAAAGGACTCTGAGAAACAGAAGCAATTTTAACTTACAGTTTTAGTCTAAGTTTTGCTTATGACATAATACAGTTTTTAGTTTTATGAGCTTACTCAAATTCTCTGTACAAAATTGAATGAATGTAGAAGTGCATTAGAGCCCTGAGATTTTTATTGTAAAAGGGCTTGATTAATATTATTTAAGAAGTAACTTGTGTTTAGATCAGCTTAGAATGAAAGTTGTGAGACATGATCAATTCTTCATTATTCAGTCACTGTTTTCGAATTAATAGAAATATTAGTTTAGAGAAAAGAAAATTGGTAGCCAAACCTTTTTATTCTGGCATTGTCATGTTCCAGATAGATCCCATGTGTTCTCAGTGCCATATGTTTTAACAAAAGTCTTTTTTCCTTCTAACTCTAACTTTAGGGATGATAGAAACTTAAGAAGTAAAGGCCTAATAAGTGGTGTGAAGTCACTGAGTAAAGAAGAATTGAGTTCAGAGTTGCTAAACTTATCTCTGAATACAGATATGTGTCATCAACCTTGTATTTCTGAGCAGCAGTTGAAAGCAGGTAGTATTTTTACTGTGAATAATTAAAATATATCTTATGAACTAAGATTATTAATAACATTCATGGCAGTTAATAGTAATAGTAATTAATAGTCAATTTTCATCCTGTCAATTTATTTTGTGCTAGTTCTGGGGCTTGAACTCAGGGTCTGGGCACTGTTTCTGACCTGTTGTGTTGAGCCACAGGTCTACTTCTGGCTTTTTTTTGCTAATTGGAGATATGAGTCTCATGGACTTTCCTGTCCAGGCTGGCTTTAAACTGCAATCCTCAGATCTTCTGAATAGGTAGGATTACAGGCATGAGCTACCAACATCTATCTCATCTTGGACATTTAAAATAACATTAAGTTTAGGATACTTGTTGCTTGTTTTAATGACAATTATAAATAAACATAGCATTATTTTCTAACTGTACTTTCATAAATTGACTTTTATCCATATAATCATGGTCAATTTGTACAAACTAATTTGTACTATGAAAAGTAAATCTTTTAAGTTAATAGTTGCTACAGTTATATTCATTTGAAATGGAATTTTTAGTTTCTTTTTATAATTAGCTTTATTACCTCCTATTAATACACTTAAAAATTAAGCTGGTAATAACTGATGTTGTAGGACACTAGTAAAAAAGTTTTCTTAAATTTTAACTAAAAATTAAGAAAGGTAAGGACAATACTGATGTCTTGAGATTTCTTTGTTTTAAACAAAAAAGTCCATTTTGTTACCTGATAAATGATGGAGTAGTATAACAAATGGCATCATTTATAAACATATCTCACCTTTTCCCGGTGCAAAGAAAATAATTTGAGGTCTTGGTATTTGTAATACTTTTTGTATATAGTTTACATAGAAATATTTGTGAATAAATATTTGACCCATTTGGAAACACAGTTTTAGTTGTGATACTCAAAATATTTGGTTGGAATACAGAATATTCTAGTTTATGGGTTTTCAGGGGTAGTGTCTTTTCAGTTTGCCATTGTATTACTGCCATCTTGTATCCTTAGTTTTTTTTTTTTTTGTTGTTGTTGTTGTTGTTTTGGTTTGGTTTTTTGTCGATCGTGGGTCTTGAACTCTGGGCCTGGCTGCTGTCCCTCTGCTCTTCAGCTCAAGGCAAGTGCTCTACCACTTGAGCCACAGCGTAACTTTTGGTTTTCTGGTGATTTCTATTGGAGATAAGAGTCCTATGGACCTTCTTGCTCGGGCTAGCTTTGAACTGTGATCCTCAGATCTCAGCCTCCTGTGTAGCTAGGATTACAGATGTGAGCCACGCCTGGCATTATCCTTAGTTTTCATATGTTGAGCTGAGCCACTTAGTGTTTTGGGTTTTGGCTTAAAAAAAATAATAGTTTTTAAAAAAAATATATTATTATTGTCAAGGTAATGTATGTGGGGGAGGGCGGGAAGGGGAGTTATAGTTACATAAGTCGGGTAATGAGTAATTTTTTTTAACCATGCCACCCTCTCTCTCACTTTCACTCTGTTTCTTCCTCCCATTCCCACCCACAAGTTGTATAGTTCATTATCAACATAGTGTCTATAGTGAGTATACCTGCTGCATTTGTTCACCTTTTCTATACCCTCCCAAAAGACAACAAAAACAGCATATGAGCCAAGCACCACTGGGTCATACTTAGAATCCTAGCTACTCAAGTTGCTGAGATCTGAGGATCAAGGTTTGAAGTTAGCCTAGGCAGGAAAGTCCGATAGACTCTTACCTAAATCAACTACTCAGGAAAAGCTGGAAGAGGCACTGGGGCTCAAGTGCTAGTCTTGAGAAAAAGAAGCTCAGGGACAGTGTTCAGGCCCTGAGTTCAAGCTCCAAGATTGGCAAAAAACAAAACAACAGCATACAGTTGTTTTCAAGTGTTGAAAGTAATGATAGCTGGTTGCAGGTACCTGTAATCCTAGCTACTCAGGAGGCTGAGATCTGAGGATCATGGTTTAAAGCCAACCTGGGAAGGAAAATCTGTGAAAGACTAATCTCCAGTGAACCACCAAAAAGTCAGAAGTGGAACTTTGGCTCAGATGGTAAAGTGTTAACCTTGAACAATAGCCTGAGTTCAAGTCTTAGTATGGTGCACGCGTGTGTGCGCGCATACACACACACACACACACACACACACACACACACACATGACAGACACACAGTATTGATAATGAAGTGACTTCAAGTAATGAAATGATTTCTCCCTTAATGGGAGAAGGCATAAAGATAGGTTAAGCTGAATATATTGGTTGTCTCTAAAAATGGTTGACATAGACTGAGTTTACAAATACGTACAATTTTTGGAAGAAAGCCATTTTCACACATACTTTTTTGGTTTTTCAGTTGTAAATAAATACAATGCATTCTTGTCATTCTTTTATTTTCAAAATAAAAGATATCATACACATTAAAATAACATACACATTTAAAAATTTTCCACTTGAGTAAAAACTTTTAGTTTTTTTTTTTTTTTTTCAAAAACTAAGGGCTAAAGCCATGGCTCAAGTGACAGAACACCTGCTTGGCAAGCATGAGCCCCTAAATTCCAACCCCAGTACTGCCCAAAACACAATAGCTAAAGAGCTCCCCTATATAAAACCATAACTATTTGCTTTGAAGGAGCAACAACTGTAAAAGACGGCTGTAAAGAAGAGTCTACGAATTCTGGACTATCCATTCTACTTGAACACATCGTATGTAATCTTGAAAAATCTCTTGGAACAGCTTTGTCTTCAATATTAGAAACAGAAATGAAAATTGCTTTTGGAAACCTTTGGATGGAGGTGATTAGTTCAAAATTTTCTATAACTGGAGATTTGTTATCTTAAAAGATTATTGTACATTGAGTTCAAGCTCCAGGACTGGCATGGTAACAATCATAATAATAATAATAATGTCACTCCTTTTATAGCATAAATACAGTATTCAGTATATAACAAAAAAATGCATGAAAGAAATGCATTATTCACTTTAGCCAGGGTATGGAATCAGCCCAGATGCTCTTCCATGGACAAATGCATCAAGAACATGTTACATACACACTATAGAAATTTAGTCATCCACTAGGAAGAATGATATTATGTCATTTGCAAACAAACACATAAACCTAGAAACAATTTAGTCAGGCCCAGAGAAACAAACAACATGGGACATGTTTTCACTCATATGTGGAAGTTAGCACTAATTAAAAAAAAAAAAAGATTATTGTACAAAAGGTGTAAGCTTTGTTATAATAATACCATGCATTGAATTTTTTCTCCAGATTTTTGAAATAACTTTTTTGACAAATCATAGATATTTCTTAAAGGTTATGAATACTACATTATTCATATTTTAATCAACAAATATTTATGATGTGTTGGAAAACTGCCCCCCCTCCAACTTAAATTGAGTCCAGGAAACTTTATTTCATTTGATTTGTTATAGAGAAACCCACTAAGCAACATGCATTCAGAATATTAGTTTGTATTTTGGCTTATACCAAATAATGAAAATCAGAATAGTTGATCACCTTAGCAAAGTGTTTGGGTTTTCTTTTCTTTTCTTTTTTTTGTCTTTTCTTTTTTGGTACTGGGGATTGAACCCAGGACGTTGCACTTGCTGGGCAAGTGCTTTGCCACTGAGCTACATCCCAGCCCCAGTGTTTGGGTTTTCTTTAGTTTTACTCTCTCCTACAATTCAATAAAACATCAAACTGGGCAACTATGTTCTTAAGAGCTCAGTGTAATGTTGATTTAATGTTTATATACAATTATAGCTAACAGAAACATTATATATCCCATCAATTGTCATTTCTAACTTTATCATAGCTCTTCAATGACATTCTCATATTTGCCAGTATAATGTGTTTGGGGCTTGATTGTTTTACCTAGTGTTGTGCCTGAATGATGAAGAATAATGAGAAGATTCTAGAAGGTTTGATTTAAATTGGATATCTGTAGTAGAAATATGAGTGACTCAGAAAAAAAGATGTTGACATCGCATATAAATAATAGCCATTTTTCTTTATAAGCATATCTTTGTAAGGAAGTGGAATTTGTATTTAACAATTTGTTCTATTGTTCTCTCGTTATATGAAATAATTATAGATTGATTTCTTTATAGAAACTATTCAGTAACTTGAAGGACTTTTCTGATTAAGACTATGCTTCTCTGATTAGAATTATGCTTTTTTAAATTTGTAGTGACTGAAACTATAAGGGTTAACACTAATATAAATTTTATAAAAGCAAATTGTAATAGAAATAGAATTTCAAGATTGTGATTAACTTATTTTTTTTGGGTCCAGTCATGGGGCCTGAACTCTGGGCCTGGGCGCTGTCCCTCAGCTCTTCAGCTCAAGGCTAGCGCTCTACCACTTGAGCCACAGCACCACTTCCGGCTTTTCTCTTTTTGCTTATGTGGTGCTGAGGAATCGAACCCAGGGCTTCAGGCATGCAAGGCAAGTGCTCTACCGCTGAGCCACCTTCCCAGCTTTTTTTTTTTTAATTTAATTTTATTTGTGAACAGACTGTACAGAGGGGTTACAATTGCATGGGCAGGACTGTGATTAACTTTTAATAAAACATTTTAATATAAAAAGAATCCAGAAATGTTTGAATTGATAAACAAGTATATTTAAATAACAATATAAGTCCACAAATAATAATTTTTAAACATGCTTTTTAGATGCTGTATTTGAAACCACCATGGACACTAATACATTTATTACAGTGCTTTAAAAAACATTGGTTGGCTGTATTTGGACTAGTTATGGAAAAGAACTTGCTTTTAACTGTTGAGAGCCTGTATGAAAATCTCTCAAAAGGTATGAATCTTTTTCTTTAGCCATGTGTATTAAAATATTAAATAAATCACCTATAAGCTTATCTACTCAGGAGGCTGAGAGCTGTAGATCATGGTTTGAAGCCAGCCTGTGCAGGAAGAGTCTGTGAGACTTTTTTTGGTGGGTTATAGGGCTTGAACTCAGGGTCTGGGCCCTCTCCCTGAGTTCTTTTGCTCAAGGCTAGCGCTCTACCACTTTGAACCACACACAGCTCTACTGCCAGTTTTCTGGTATTTAATTGGAGATAAGAATTCCACAGACTTTCCTGCCCAGCCTGGCTTTGAACCGTGGTCCTCAGATCTCAGCCTCCTGATAAGCTAGGATTACAGGTGGGAACCACTGGCATCCAGCTGTGAGACTCTTGTTTTCAATTAGCTACCAAAAAGCTAGAGTGGAGTTGTGGCTCAGGTGGTAGAGCACTAACTAGCCTTGAGCACAGAAACTTAGAGATAGTGCCCAAGCCCTAGGTTCAAGCCCCAGGACCAGCACACACACACAAAAGGAATGCTTTATTTTTAATTCCTAGTGCCAATAAAAGACACAGTTTCAAGATAAGTAAGTCTCTGAAAGTGAAGATTCAAGACACATTGTAGTATGATTAATTTGCCTTTGAAAATTATTATATAGCATTGTACCTTAATGATAAAGATACTTGTTCTGTTTAATTTTGTTTTTCATAAGTTTTTAATCTTGGAAAGTATAGTCACTACCTTTCCTAGCTAATTTGGGGGATTTTAGCATTTTTAGCTCCCTGAGAGAAAGTTGTTAGATCTTCTTGTTGTTTTGGAGCTTGAACTCAGGGCATGGGGCACTGTCTGTCCCTAAGCTCTGTTGCTCAAGGCTAGTGCTTTCCTACTTTGAGTCACAGCTCCACATCTGGTTTTTGAGTGGTTAATTGGAGATAAAAGTCTTATGGGGACTTTTCTGCCCAGGCTGACTTCAAAGACTTCAAACCATAATCCTCAGATCTCAGCCTCTTGAGTAGCTAGGGTTACATGTGATGTGAGCGATTGGTGCCCAGTCTTTTTAAAATTATTTGTTTGTTTATTGCCAATGCTGGCACTTGAACTGAGGGCGTGGGTGCTGTCACTCAGCTTCTTTTGCTCAAGGCTAGCACTCTACCACTTGAGCCACAGCACCACTTTCTGCTTTTTCTGTGTATGTGGTATTGAAAACATAATACCAGGACTTTGTTTGTTAATAGCTTTTAATACCAGAAGTGTAAGTTAGGCATGACATGTACATGTAAACATATTCTACGTAAATTTCAGAGTTAATATTAGATTAGTGTCCCAAAGTGATTTTCATGTGTGTATTCGTTCTTACAAGTCTGTCTTTACTTCCTCTTACCAGCTAATAATGAAGTGAATTTAACAACAGTGAAATTTCTCCTTGAGGATTCTAAAACTTTGTTACATGCTTTTAGTACAAGGTCAAATTATGATGGTATTCTTCCACAGACCTTTGCTGAAGTGAACAAACTGCTCCAAACATTTGCAGAGGTAAGATACTTTTGAAATTCCATTTAGAGTAGCCTTTCACATACATTCTAAAAATGTATTTAGACAGTAATGGGTAAAAGATAATGTAACTCAAGCCTATTTTAGCATACTTAAAGGCATTAGATAAGTAAGTGTAGGGGTGTATAAGCAAGTCTTGTCATAAGTTATGAAAACATTTATGAGGGAATGTCATACCAGTTATTTTGTTACTTTTTTTATACTGGTACTCCCTCTCTTTTTCCTTTCCTTTCTTTTTTCCTTTTTCTTTTCTTTCTCTTCTCCTTCCTTATCTCTTTTCCTTCCCCTGCCCTTACTCCTTCCCTTCCCTCTCTCTTTACCTTTTTTCTTTCCTTTCCCTTCTTATTTTTGAGACAGGGTCCTCCTGTGTAGCTTAGGGTGGCCTTAAATTTGCAGTCCTCTTGCTTCTGCCCAGTGCTGGAATTTCAGGCTTGTATAACCACACCATGCAGTTGGTGAGATTTTTATATTATTTCTTTAATGGATAAGAAAAAGCAATTCAGTATTGTTCAGCTATTATTTCCAGTGCCTGTGACCAGTGGATCTCACATGTATCAAAAACATGTAGGAAGCTAGGTGCTAGTGGTTCACATCTATAATACTAGTTACTCAGGAAGCTGAGACCTTGCAGGAAAGCCTGCAAGACTCTATCTCCATTTAACTACTAAAAAGGCCAGAAATAGAGTTGTAGTTTATGTGTAGAACACTAGCTTTGAGCAATAAAGCTCAAGAACAGGGCCTAGGTCCTGAGTTCAAGCCCCAGGATCAACACCAAAAAACAAAAACAAAAGTATAAAAATCCATTTAGGAGATGTTTTAAAATATGCAGGTACTAAGTAGCTCTGAAACCTTACTGAATTGTAAAAAAAAAAAATTTTTTTTTTGGTTGGTTGTGGAGCCTTAACTCTGGGCCTGGGCACTGTCCTTCAGCTCTTCAGCTCAAGGCTAGCACTCTACCACTTGAGCCACAGCGCCACTGCTGGCTTTTTCTGCTTATGTGGTGCTGAAGAATCGAACCCAGAGCCTCATGCACTCTACCACTGAGCTTCCTTCCCTACCCATAAAATATTTTGACAAGTTTTAATAATTTTTTTTCATTTTGAAATTGTTGCAAAATTATGAAAAAGTTGCCAGTATAATATGGAGAATTCCCATATGTACTCTTAACTCCCCAAGTGTTAATATTTTATTACATTTGCTTTTATAATTTCTCTACCAATCTACATAGTATCTGTCGGCATACCTGTCTATCTATCCATCTGCATTTGTTCTGAGCTATTTGAGAGTATGTTGAAGATGTGATGCTCCTTTATCTTCAAATGTTTCCATAGTTTTCCTAAAAAAAGAGTTTCTGTTATAATACAGTAGAATTAATCAGAAAATTATCACTGATATAATTATCTAATCTGTAGTCATTAATTGTTCTACCAATTGACTTAAGAATTTCTTTAAAAATTTTATTGCAAAGATGCTATACACAGGGGTTACAGTTACATGAGTAAGGCAATGAATACATTACTTGTCAATCATTGTTACCCCTTCCCTTGTCCCACTATCCCTTTCCTCCCACACTGCCCCCTCCCCCCCACCAAGTTGTAAAGTTCGACTTAGGAATTTTTGTGTGTGTATGTGCCAGTCCTGAGGCTTGAACTCGGGTCCTGGGTGCTGTCTGAGCTTTTGTGCTCAAAGCTAGAGCTTAACCACTTGAGCCACAGCTCCACGCCTGGCTTTTTTTGGGTAGTTTATTGGAGATGAGTCTCATGGCTTTCCTGCTTGGCCTGCCTTCAAAATACTATCCTCAGAGCTCAGCCTTCTAAGTTGCTAGGATTATGGCTGTGAGCCACTGGCACATTGCTTATTGATTTTTCCTAGATTTTGTAATATGATTTTTTTTTTAGTATTATCATTTCAAGTTTAAAAAAAACTGAAATTTTATGTATCAGAACCAGCTCAACTAAACCTTATAACTACTCTGAGAGATATTAATGAGACTTTAATATAGATTGCATGGTCTCCTTTTTCTCTGAGAAACTGAATTAGGGTTGGTTTTTATGTTTTCATTTTTGGTCAGGTAGTTTTCAAACTTACTTGCTAAGAGAGTATCTCATGGAGTAAAAGGAACATCTTTCTTTTTAATAAACTAGTAAGAAATATGTGATAAATCCTGTATGAAAGAATTTATTTCAGGGATGAAATAATTCTTTGGTTTAAGGTGACCAAACTATTGGTAGTTTGAATTTCTTAAGGTAAATACGATTTAGGAAGACGATTTAGCAGTGATGGATAGACATGGAGTTTAAGGAGTACAGCTTGATAATAGATTGTATTGGGAAATAATGTTACCTTTCCAAATCATAGAAATGAGCCTTAAATCATATCTTTAGTGAAATAAATATAGGGAACAAGATACAAAGTGTGGCATACTTACAAGCTTCAGTCTTGGAGTTAAGATTATTGGGACTGGGCTGGGAAGGTGGCTCAGTGGTAGAGCGCATGCCTTGCATGCCAGAGGCCCTGAGTTCGATTCCTCAGCACCACATAAGCAAAAAGAAAAAAGCCGGAAGTGGCGCTGTGGCTCAAGTGATAGAGCGCTAGCCTTGAGCTGAAGAGCTGAGGGACAGCGCCCAGGCCCAGATTTCAGGCCCCATAACCAGACCCCCCCAAAACCCCCAAAAAACAGAAAACAAAAAAAAAGATTATTGGGACTGACAGAAATACAAATAATCTCAAATGTTAAGAGGCGCCATAAAATACGATGTTAGTGTTACTAGATTATGGCGTGTTTATTGTGTATGCATTGCCCACTTGAATTCTTAAAGGGTTGAATTTTTACTTAGTAAGATGTTTATTTCTGGATTGCTATATTAGCAAGAGATTAATGAATGCCAGTAGCAAAAATCTAGCATTCTTACTAGTTCTTTTTGTTCAGCACTTGACATTCATGTGATTGCTTTAAACAGCCTGATTGTTTTATTCCTTGATTTTCATGTTAGAAACAATTTGTTGTCTAAGTAGGCAAGGAACATTGTGATTTTGCTTATTCCTTTAAAACACTTTGAAAAGGAGTTGTGATTTGATACATGCCATTAATACCTATTCATGTCTATAATTTGAGCTATATGAAGATTACTTCCAGAGATAGCTATCATAAGTTAGTTATTGTTAAAAGTATCTACTTAATTTATTGAATTTGGAAAACTGAGAATAGAGCAATGTTCATTGTTTTTTATTTCCTCTTAAAGGTTTCTGAGAAAATGAGAAAGATAAACTAACATTATCATTTACTAGATTTTTCTTATAAGTAGAGTGGAAATAGGATAAAGATAGATACATTTTTATTTTATAAGCCTTCCAACCATCAAAAGGGGAAAGAAAGCTTCTCTCTGCCAGTGTGCTAAAATAATTGGAATCAATCTTATTAATATTAAATTTACATGACTTAAGGTTTTGACCTGAGTTCTTAACCTGGTTATTTGTTTCTGAATCTTAATTCTGTTCTATAAAATATGTATAATAATAACTCCTACCTTAAAATAAACTTAATATTTATAAAAACCTTCAGACTTAGCAGATAGTAAGTGCTATATAAGTAGTTGATTACAGACTCATAATTAATACTCACTACTCAGGAAACTTAAGATCTGAGGATCAAGATCTGAAGCTAGCTGGGGCAGGAAAGTCCATGAGACTACCAAAAAAAAAAAAAAAAAAAAAGTCAGGAGTGGAGGTGTGGCTCAAGTGGTAGAACACTTAAGCAAAAGAAGCTCAGGGGAAAAAAAAAAAAAAGCAGCTCAGGGACAACACCAGAACCCTGACTTCAAACTGGATTGGCATGCCCACACATGCATATAGACACACACACCCAAAAGTAAAAAACCACTTGTATAATTGTATACACTGTTATCTAAGAACCAGAGCAAAGAAGCACTTTGTATGTATGTGGTGATGGGGAAAAAAAAATTATCAGGCTGAAGATTTATAGCTCATTGATAGTGAACTTGCATAGTGTATATACAGTACAAGACCTATATTTTATTTTTCAGCATTGCCCACAAAAATAATGTTATATATGTGTTTTATATAAATAACAGATTAATAATCTGTTATATATACCTTATATATAACAGATTTTTTTATCTGTTATAGATATGTTCAAATATATATTAAAATATATTAAAAATCTGTATATAACAGATTTTATCATATATTTGTGAATTACATTCATTTTAATAGACAAAAATGATAGGCATCAAGTGTTTATTCTTTGCTTCCTACATTAGAAGATAAATATCATATTTTTGTTGTTGTTGTTGTTGGTCGTGGGGCTTGAACTCTGGGCGTAGGCACTGTCTTTGTGCTCTTCAGCTCAAGGTGAGCGCTCTACCGCTTGAGCCACAGCACCACTTCCAGGTTTCTAGTGGTTTATTGGAGATAAAGGTCTCACAGAGTTTCCTGCCCAGTCTGGCTTTGAACCGTGATCCTCAGATCTCAGCCTCCTAAGTAGCTAGGATTACAGGCGTGAGCCACCAGCGCCTGGCTCATATTTACTTTTATACTTGGCATGCAATCAGAATTTCATTTATACATCACTGCAGGTCAAATCCTGTTCATGTCTCATACCATTTGAGTAACATTGTATGAGTTAATTTAGCTTTTCTATGTCTGTTTCCTCTGTTATAAACTCTGAATTATAGTATGTTTCATAGGTGTTGTGTTTCATTAGATTGTGTTTAGTTATCTCTTTCATTGGATAGTGAAGTTAATTGTGCTAATAGAAAGTTGATGCACATAACAGTCTTATAAATATCAACTTTTTGATAGTGTTAGAAATTTTATTTTTGTAATTTAAAATCATAAAATGAATAACACAAAACTAAGGTTTTGGGGCTGGGAAGGTGGCTCGGTGGTAGAGCGCTTGCCTTGCATGCATGAGGCCCTGGGTTCGATTCCTCAGCACCACATAAGCCTCAGCAGCACATAAGCAAAAAGAAAAAAGCCGGAGGTGGCACTGTGGCTCAAGTGGTAGAATGCTAGCCTTGAGCTGAGGAGCTGAGGGACAGTGCCCAGGCCCAGAGTTCAGACCCCACGACCGGCCCCCCACCCCCCAAAAAAAAACAGCTAAGGTTTTTTTGTTTTGTTTTGTCAGTGCTGGGTTTTGAACTCAGGCCTAGTTGTTGTCCTTTAGTTTTTCCACTTTGGACTCTAGTTGTAGACTACTAGCACCACAACTCTATTTCGGGGAGGGGGGTTGTTTGTTTGTTTTTGTTTTCTTTTTTGCTAGTTAATTGGTGATAGTTGTCTTACAGGTTTTTTTTGTCTGGCTTGGCTTTAAATTATGATCCTCAGATCTCATCCTCCCAAGTAGCTAGGAAAACATGTGTGAGTCACCAGCTAACATTTGAAATCATCTTGTTACAGTGTGGCAAATTAACCCTAGAGAAATTGAGTGATGCTACCAAAGTTCATAAGGGATGTTACTGTAAAGCTGAGTTCCAAAACCAAGTTTTTAAACTCATAATGAAAATCTTTTTCTATTTTTATCAGTGTTTGTTTTAAACCCATCCCTTTCAAGTACCCATTTCTTGGTGTTTATTTAGTTAAACTTTGCCTTAGTCTTTCTAAGTAATTATACTATTTGAGATCTTCCTTGAATCTACCATATTTCAATTAGTACATTTATATACATACAGATGCATACCACCCAATTTGTAAGCTAATTCTAGCTTCTACAGATGACAGATGTAGCCTTTGTCTCTCTGTTTCCTGACTTACTTCACCTACCATAATTTTTTCCAGATCTTTTCATTTCTTTACAAATGGTACAATATCATTCTTTCTAATGGATGAATAAAATTTCATGGTGTGTATATATGTGTGTGTATATATATGTGTATATGTATATATATATATATGCATATACACATTTTCTTGATCTATTCATCCAATGAAGAGTATTTGGGCTGATTCCATACCTTGGCAATGATGAATAGTACTGCAGTGAACATGGTTGTACTGGTGGCTTTACTGTAGCCTTGTTTGTGTTCTATTGGATTATACCCAGGACTGGAATTGCTGGGTTATAGGGAAGGACTATGTTTATTTTCTGGAACCTCCATACTTACTGCCTTCCAGAGTGGTTGAACAAGCTTACATTCCCATTACCAGTGTAATAGGAGTTCCCTTTTGGCTGCATCCTCCTTGTTAGCATTTGTTATTGTTAGTTTTCTTGGTAATGACCATTCTAACTAGGGTGAAGTGGAATCTTAGTGTTGTTTTGGTTTGCATTTCCTTTATGGCCAGAGGAGTTGAGCCTTTCTTCATATGTTGATTAGCCATTTTCACTTAATCTGAGAAGTCTCTCTTTAGTTCATTAGCCTATTTATTAATTGGGTCACTGGTTTTTTGAGAGTTTGATTTTTTTTAAGACTTCTGCATATTCTGGATATTAGGCTGTTGTTTGTTATGTATAGCTGGCAAAAACCTTCCATCTTGCAGGCTGTTGTTTTAACTTGATGGGTATGTCCTTTGCTGTGTAATAACTTTTGGTTTGATGTAGTCCCATTTACCAACTCTTGCTTTGATTTGCTCTGCTTCTGTATGCTTATTCAGAAAGTTCCTACCAGTGCCAAGTTGTCCTGATGCCAATTGTCTTTCCACTACTTTATCTCTTCTTCAATTTCTTTTTCAAATTTTTATAGCTTTCACTGTAGAGGTCCTTCATATCCTTGGATAAGTTAATTTTTTGGGTTTTTTTTTTGAGACTTGCAAATGGAGTTGCTTTCCTGATTACATATATTAGTAATACTTTTTGTTGACACAGATATACTTTAAACATGCTTTGTTTCTTTTCCAGTGTAATATGTGGTATGTTCATTGTATTATTCCACATCAGTAATGGCAATGTTTTGTTTAAAATTGTAACACATCAAGTGTATGATGCTTGGAGCTGGACTTTGTGTATTTAATTTTCTGTACGCTCTCTAGTTCAATACTATCTGTAAAAAATGATCAAATAATGTTCTTATATTAACATTATCATGTTAACTAAGAAAGGTCACCATAATAAATGGATTGGAAGTATTATTTGATTTAATGGAAAAGCTTATTTCTGGGAATTTTCTGTTCATAATCAAAGAACAAGAATTGCTAGCATTTCCCATGTTAGCTAACATTTATAAGCATAGTGGACATTCTGTTTTACTCATTTACTAATGAAGGATTAATGTATTTTATCTAATTCTTATTTTCCTAGGTCAAGACAAAACTTAAATCAAATTCTCCAAAAACCACAGTGAGTACAAAGCAGGAAGATACGTCTTTGATGAAGTTTCATAACCAAGAAATCACTGTTTTCTCAGGATCTCACCTTCCCCAGCCCAACAGGCATCAAGAAATCTGGTCTATTTTAGAGAATGTTTGGATTATAATATATCAGAACAGGTACTAAATTGCCAAAAATCTTTTTAACTCCTGCCTTACAGATTAGTGTTTTTAAGGTTTCCATCATTGCTATTATTTATGAAGCCATGCTTGGCTTATGTTTATTGTGCTAGATTGTCTTACTGAGAGCCTTTTGTTAAATTGATACCTTAGGAATTTTAAATATGTGTATGTGTATCGCATACATGTGAGACAAATTTGGCATATGACATGATATATGTAACATGCAGGATATATATCACACATTATAAGGGTGATCTAGCTGGGACATCTGTCACCCCATTGATTACCAACATTTATTTGGCTGCCTAAGCAGTTATTCTTTTCTTCCCTAACCATTTCATGTATGTCCCTCTCCAAGCTACATACTTGATGGAAGAGGATGACTTCCAGATGGAGTCTTTTGTCAATGGTATATGAATAGCTGCACTCTCCTGCTAGACACTTCAGACAAGTTTTCGAAAATGTATATAGCTTAAGATCTATTTTTACAAATCTAGATTCAGAAAGACTAAAGCAAAGCTGAGAGTATATTTAAAATAGTCTCTTCAGGATTCATATGTAAACTTTGCTGAGAAGCATTGAAAAGATTGGTCAAGCAGAATAGCATAGTGTAAGAATACAACAGAATACAATAGTTTTTAAATAGGCTATTCCTAGAATAGTTTACAAAATAATTTAAAACTACTGATTTTATTAATCTACTTAGATGAATACTCTCAAGTATATTTCTCCCTAAGTTCAGAATCTTCCCCCCCCCCTTTTTTTTTTGGTTTGAGAGCAGGACTCAGATTTGGTGTCTTGAGACTTGCTTTCACTGGTGCTCTATGAGCAGAACCATGCCTCCAGCCCCTAGAATCTTTATATAATCAAATTTTATCAAACTAATGTTTGTCATTTTGATTTTTGTTTATGCCCATGTGACTATTAGTACTTTTTTGTTTGTTTGTTTTAATGTTCACAAAGGTAGCAGAACAATATTAGCGCTCAAAACATCTGTGAGCAATTGGCTATGTCAGCGTTTTTTATTTGGATCCGACTTTTAGTCCTTGGCTATATTCTTTTCCAACAGACTTATAGTCTGTCATTCAGCTAGCTAGCTTATGATACTAAAGAACTACCTTTGCTTGACATGTATACTAAAGAAGATATTATTTACATTTATATTTTATGCAAAAGTTTCATTATTTTTTTCTAGCATTAGCATATTTTTGAGATTTTGGCTACCTGGATACTCTGTTTTGCAGAAAGTACCAGGCATGGATTACTGATTTAAGAATAAAATATACATTGGGCACTGGGTGGCTCAATCCTAGCTTGCTAAGGAGGCTGAGATCTAAGGGTCTGGTTCACAGCCAGCTGGGGCAGGAAAGTCCATGAGATTCTTATCTCCAGTTAACCACCAGAAAACCAGAAGTGGAGCTGTGGTTAAAAGTGGTAGAGAGCTGGCCTTGAGCAAGAGAGTTCAGTGACAGTACCTACATGCTGAGTTCAAGCCCTAAAACCAACAACAACAGCATCAAAAGATATTTTAATTTTTATTTCACTTAGAAAACTTATTGTTAAGGTGTTATACAGAGGGACTATTGTTTCATAAGTCAGATAAAGAGTACACTTCTTTTTGGACAGTGTCACTATTCCTTCGCTTTCCCCCAGTTTCTCCCTCCTGTCTCTGCCCACAACAGTTTTCACATAATGTTCACTTAGAAGACTTTTGAGTACTTTATGTAACTCAGAGGTAGTCCCTTTTGTGTTCTAGAGGGTTCTGTGTTCTTTTTTGGGCAATAGCATTTTAGGAAATGCTGTCTTATTAATGTCTACTTATTTAAGTCTACTTCATTGCTTTATAAGCTTGTTTTAGACCAAAGTCAATGTAGAACTTGCTCCACACAGTATGTTTGGGCCTTTCATGTAAAAATGCTTATTGGGAGATGTAGTAGGATTTATGCATAATTACTCATATGAAGTTACTAGTGCTTTTGTATAAGCATATATGCTTAGCTGGGCATTGTGGTACACACCTGTAATCTCAACTGGAAAGTCTACAGATTGAGGAAAAAATATTATGAATTGGTGGCCAACACAGGGAAATGATGTCTCAACATTTTTTTCTGCTATTTTTCATACAAGTTTCTGAGACTTAAATTTTGAATTTGCAGTGGGAACTATACTTAAACAAAATGTCCTATTACCTTTGTCATTCTTTTCCCAGTGACCCAGAATGTTACTAATACTATGAAGGTAAAACAAATAAAGAATTTTTTTGACAATTTAATGGCCAACCATTTCTCTAAACTGATGTTAATAATGAAATAATTACGTATGTGCATATGTATGTATATATATATATATAACATATATGATATATACTGTCTTATTTTATGGGGGTGGTCATAGAATTTGAATTCAGGAAGATGTACTTGGTACACAGAGCCACACCTTCAAGCCCTAAATTTCCAAACTGCCAGTTTTCGTTTTTTATTTTGTTTTTTCCCCAGTATTAGGGATTTGACCAGGGCCTTGTACTTGACAGGCAATGTTTCTTACACTCCAACTATCCCCCAAGCCTTGATTATTTCTGGAAGTTCTTAATGGAAGTATATGAAATGAAATGAAAGTATATGAAATAAAGGTGTTTTTTGTTTGTTTGTTTTTTGTTGGTTGTGGGGTTTGAATTCTAGGCCTGGGCACCATCCCTCAGCTCTTCAGCTCAAGGCAAGAGCTCTACCTCTTGAACCACTGCGCCACTTCCCGTTTCTGAGTAGTTTTGGACATAAGAGTCTCAAGGAGTTTCCTGCCTGGGCTAGCTTTGAATCACGATCCTCAGATCTCAGGCTACTAAGTAGCTAGGGTGATAAGCGTGAGCCACCCATGCCCGGCTAAACTAAGATATTTTTTTTGTTGGTCGAGAGGCTTGAACTCTGGGCCTGGGCGTTGTACCTCAGATCTCTACCACTTGAGCCACAACGCCGCTTCTGAAATGAAAATCTTTGCCTAGTAAATGTAGGACTTCGGTACTTAGATATATCTGCATGAATATGAAGTTGTTGGGGGGATACCATTCATACTCAGCATAACATGTTTTGATTTTTTAATCTGAAGTAGTATATTATGTAAGTAAATTTTCTGCATTTTTAAAATTTCATACATGGCATAAACTGCTTAGCTTGTTATTTTAAGGAGCTAATTTACTACTTAATACTGCTTATATTGTTGTATATTTAGAGTATTACTGTTTTTTATCTGATTGTGAATTATGATTAATTTATGATAGCTTTCTGGAGTAGAATTTCCGGAATAAATTTCCAGTTTCAATGTTTTCATATATTTGTTCTTGAGTACTGCTTTGAATGTACATTAATAATATTACCGATTACCCATTTCTTATGGTCTATTATAATAGGACATTATCTGCACAATTTTTACAGTATTAGTTTAGAACTATATTGTGTCTGACCTAGATCCCTTGCATAAATGTTAGCCCTGACTTTTATGTCACCATCTTTTTTATTTCTGTCTAATTTAAATAGATCAAGAGATGTAATTATATATCATCATTTTGATACATTGGCAGTGGAATTAATTGAAATATTCAATGTATAATATATCTATATACTTTTTTTTCTATTTTAGCACAGATGTATTTCAAAGATTGGGCTCTAGTTCAGCTCTGATCACTCCTCCAAAAATAGCATCATTTGAAGAAGCATTTATTTATCTTCAAAAGTTAATGGCAGCTGTGAAGGATATTCTTGAAGGAATTCAGAGGTAAACCCTATCTTAATTTTAAGGCTTCAGTTTTTAACTATTTTTCTATTAGTATTTTTCAGATGATTTTTAGATTTAACTTTCTCTCCTGTACCACTATGCTTAGCTTATTTTTTGAGATAGAATCTTGAAAACTTTTGCCCCGTCTGGCCTTAACCCACAATCTGCCTTTCTCCTTTTGCTGAGTAGCTGGATTATAAGTATGTGCTACCACATCAGGCCTGTTAATTTTTTTGACGTTTTCCCTAACTTAAGTCTTGGTCCAGGACAAATAAAATAATTAAATTGTAGCTTTTATTATTAATGATGTTATTGATAAATATTTTACTTCAGTATTTTTGATAATATCAATTAAAATGGTTGGGCAATTTTGCACACTGTTAGAATGCAAGGTAATTTAGTTTTTGGGGCAGCCTTCTCCAAAGTTACTTAGATACATGAGTCATGGTGTTCGTATGATAAAGTAAAATACATAGATATTTTAGGGCATTGCTACATACTGGCTCTGAGTGAATGATAATCCTCAGAGACCTAAGATGCTAATGTAGTTGGAGAAATGGCCATCGGGGCAGATCTATCTTGATGAATATCTCATATCCATTAATGTCTATATTTTAATGATGTTCTTATTTTGGGGGCTAATTTTTGAAGGATCTTCTAAGATTATTTTTGGTTTATCTACCAAGGAGACTCATAAAAGCTCAAACTGAAAATAAGGACACGTGAGGTTTGCCATGTCTTAATGATTGCTAATGTTTGCCATATTATTATTACTATCTTCAGTTCTTGGGTTCCTTGCTGGAATCTTTAAAACCGGTATTCATTTGATGAAGTTTAATTGGATGCATAATACAACCTGTTAGTCAACTAACTGGATATATATAAATGCAGTGTCTTCAACTCCTTTTTTGTTTCTGTTTTGGTTTTTGTTTTGGGGTCCGGTCATGGGGCCTGAACTCTGGGCCTGGGCACTGTCCCTCAGCTCTTCAGCTCAAGGCTAGCGCTCTACCACTTGAGCCCCAGCACCACTTCTGGCTTTTTTCTTTTTTCTTATGTGGTGCTGAGGAATTGATCCCAGGGCCTCAGGCATGCAAGGCAAGCGCTCTACCACTGAGCCACCTTCCCAGCCCTCTTCAACTCCTTTGAAAGCCAACAAATAAGGCTTTCTTTCTCTAATGTGAAACTCTGGTTCCACCCTCTGGACACTTCACCGTTATGACCTGATGTGGTCTGACATGTGGACCAGTTAAGAAGGGATGAAGTAATATCTGCAAACCACTTAGAACAGTATCTGGCAAGTAGTGTATAAGTACTCAGTAGCTACCATTGTCTTGTTTTGTTACTTAATTGTTATTTTACTGACTTATGTTTTAGAAAATACTTAGAATTATTCTCCTTAAATCATATTTTTACTGTCTGATTTATTTTTCTCCTTTTGTCCATTGATTTAAGTATAGCCTTTTTAAATCTGGCAATCAAGTTTTTCTACTATTTGGTCCTAACACATTTTTTTGTTCTTACATTTACCTGGTGTACGTAGCCAAATTAGTTTATTTCTGATTTTCAAGACTTTCAGTCTTCTGGTGATCCTTGACACGATCTCCTCTCAGAGCCTAGAATGACTTCTTAACTTCCCTGCTTTTTTGCAAGATCTTGATTGATTATTGAGTCCCAGTTCAGGGATCTCTGTTCCACCCACATTTATCCAATTAGGCCTTGTATATGGCCTCTGATTATTACTTTTCAACATTTTATTTCTGCTCTCAAATGAACCCTGTGAAGGTAGGATCTGTCTTTTACATCCCAAAGTATCTTACCTTCTGCCTTAGCTTAATACTATTTAATCATGATAATAATTTTAATGTTATGTTAACTAACAGTCATTAAGTGCTTAGTGTATTTCAGGTACTGTGCTATCTGAAGTTTAACTATGTGATCTTATTTGAGTCAATATCATATCCTATTAGAAGTACTATTCTATCTCTTTCCATGGAAAAGGAGGACCATTGACCCAGTGCCACAGTTTACTTGGCAAAATGATTCTAAAGAACCTCCATCTTAATACACTAAATTTTCTGACTGAAAAAAAAAACAACCTATTTTTTCAAGATCATTCCATAGAACTCTAGAAATTTTATAAATTTGATTTTAAAGAATATATATCTGAAAAATATTTTTAAAATCTACCTGAGAAGGACTTTCCTCCTTTATACTTGCTATTCTGAGTTTGCCTTTTTCTACTCCCACTCCCCAGTTTTCTTTTGTCATTCGTGGGGCCTGGGTACTGTCCCTGCACTGTTTTGCTCAAGGATAGTATTCTACCACTTTGAACCATAGTTCCACTTGTGTGTCTTTTTTTTAGGAAGTTTTGATCTGTGCCAAGGAGCCCTAGTGTTTCACCTGTTCCATCCTGTAATGTTTTCAGTGTATCTGCTCTTACATCAAGGTCTTTGATCCATTTAGAGTTGTGCTGGTGCAGGGTGATATATAAGGATCTAACTTCAGTTTTCTACACATGTATAGCCAATTCTCCAAGTACCATTTGTTGAAGAGGCTGTCTTCCATCAAAAGTGGTCATAGGTCTGTGGGATTATTTCTGGGTCTTCATTTCTATGCTATTGGTCCCCAGGCCTAGTCTTGTGCCAGTAACAAGCTGTTTTTATTACTACAGCTTTGTAATGGAGTTTGAAGTTTGGTATTGCTATTCCTCTAGCATTGTTCTTCTTCCTATGGATTGTTTTTGCTATTTGGAGTCTTCTGTTATTCCATATGAATTTTTGGATTGCTTCTTCCATATCATTGAAGACTGTTGTTGGGGTAATGATGGGTATTGCATTGCATTTGTAGATAGCTTTGGGCAGTATTGCCATTTTCACACTGTGAATCCTGCCAATCCAGGAGCATGATAGGTTTTTCTACTTCCTTAAATCTGCAATAATTTCCTTTTTCAGGCTTTTTAAGTTTTTATCGTAGAGGTCCTTCAAACCTTTGGGTTAATTTTATACCCTGATACTTTGCCAAAGTTTCTGATCAGCTCAAGTAACTTAGGAGAGGAATCTTTGGGATTGTTTAAATACAGGATCATGTCATCTGCAAAGAGGGAGAGTTTTACTTCTTTCCCTATTTGGATCCCCTTTATGTTTGTCTTTTGCCTTACTGCTCTAGATAGAAATTCCAGTAGTATATTGAAGAGGACATTATTTATATTGAGTGGTACAGAATAGGAATTTTTAAAATTGAGATCACCTAACTGCTTAGTTGATGTTACTGCTCCTAGCCAAATAGAGAACTCTCAAGGCACATGTGAGCAAGAGTCAGGATTTGTAAGAAGATTGATTCTGTTACTAGCTTACTTTGTAGCTTTGAGGAAAAGATAACAAAAACATTTAGTGCTTGAACACAAAAATAATTTGCAGCAACATTTGATAAAAGGCAAGAGTTTTTAGCCAGGCACTGGTAGCTCATGCCTGTAATCCTAGCTGCAGAGGCTGAGATCTGAGGATTGCAGTTGGAAGCCCGCCTGGACAGGAAAGTTTGTGAGACTCTTATATCCAGTTAACCACCAAAAATTGGAATTGGAACTGTGCCTCAAGTGATAGAGTGCTAGACTTGAACATAAAAGCTCAGGGACAGTGCCCAGGCCCAGAGTTCAAGCCCCCAAACCCCCTTACGCACCCCTCCACCCCCCCCCCAAAAGGGCAAGATTTTTTGACATTCATACAAAATCATTTTTTTAATGGCTTGATTTGATTTTTTATAACATTATCTAAAGGCAAGTAGAGAGTAGTAATTTTTCTTTTTTTTAGTGAGAAAAGTATGCACTCCAGATTCAAACCAGTAAGAGATTTCATTACCTCCAGCCATTCTCTATCATCTTAGATAATTGTCTTAAAACTCTGACCTTTATCTTTTATATCTGCAACCTAATTTTAGTAATAGCTAAATACTGAATGTATACTGTTTGCTAGGGATTTGCTAAGCATTTTAGATACATTATTTAGTTCACACTTCATAAGATAAACCTAACTTCATCTCCATTTCACACTTGAGGACTAAGGTGCACATAAAGAGGAAGTTTGGGCCAAGTTGCCTAACTAAACTCAGGTGTTAAGAGGACTGGAAATGACACATGTAAAGCAGGGTCAGACTTGGAGTAACTGTTTTAAGGAGAACCAAAGTACAATCAAGTCAGATCTGTGGACAGATAATTTTGTTCTGAATGACAGAGGACATTTGTTGTTCCTCAAAATTCATCCCAGAGTAAAATTTAAAAACTATAAACAAGTTGAAGACAGAGAACTATGCCTTAAATTTTTCTTTTATATTCCATAGATTGCTTTCTTTTGGGAAAGATCAACTTTAATAGATATTGGTAATTTATAATTAAAATGGATAATATTATACCAAGATCCTTTATTACATTTAAGCCTACATTGTGAGTACATTTGTGTGTGTGCATAGTTTATTAGAGATAAAAGTTTCACAGACATTTCCTGCCTGGGCTGACTTCAAAAGCCCTGATCCTCATATCTCAGCCTCCTGAGTACTAGGATTACAGGTGTAAGCCATTGTTACCCAGCATGACTATGTCATTTAAAACAGGATGAAAAATGTACAGTTATATTGCCATCTGGGAATACTTTGATAATAGCTTCAAATTCCTTTTAGCCCCCTTGATTCCATAGCTCTCATAAGAATATTTGAGGAAATACTATGAATTGAATATGTACTTACTGTGAATGTCTTTTAAAAGGATAAAAATGGGAATATATATATATATATAGCCATTTTCTTAAATTAATTTCCATTTGTTCTTTTATTCTTTCTAAAAATTGGCATAAAAGGGTAGTTTTAGGGTTTTGTTCTAAGAGTCTTTTGTCTTCCCACTGGTACAAAGGAAAAAAGAAATGAGAAACTTGGAGAAGTCTGACCTCTCAAGAATTTGTGTGTGGGAAATTCCTAATGCATGAAAATCCATAAACAGCTTTTTAAGTTTTTTA